AAGGAAGGAAGGAAGGAAGGAAGGAAGGAAGGAAGGAAGGAAGGAAGGAAGAAAAAAAGGAAGGAAGGAAGGAAGGGACGGTCATCTGTCAGAACATCACATTGTCCCTGTACATGCAGTTAATGGAATGCTTCACTTTTTCCTGGAAGTCATTAATTCCAAAATCTACTTCTGGCTTAAAGCTAAGAGTTACTAGTAAACTGATATTTTAGAGTGCATGTTCTGAATTGTTAGGTCACCTTCATTAATTTCAGGAGGCAACTCTAACATTTGTGACTTGAATGATAAAACTGTGGCTAACATTCCCCCATTGATGTCGCCAACCTGGAAGCTGTCACTCATTACCGGCTCCTAACTAGCTTTCTCCTGCTGTTTGTCCTTCTGACACGCCTATAACTTAGACTGCATTTGTGTCTATACTTATTTTCAATCCTATTTTTTAAAATGATGAAAGTAAAAGATAAACACAAAGCAGACTTTCTCCAGACTAAATTAAAGAATTTTTTTTCCTATGTGGGTGCTGGAGAGATGGCTCAGTGTGTGCTGTCTTGCAGAGGACCCAGGCTGGGTGCCCAACACCCACACTGGGCGGCTCACAGCACCTCTAAACTGCATCTCTAGGGGATCTTCTGGCCTCCATGGCATGTGCACACATAAAGGAAAACAGAGTCTTAAAGCAGTTCCTCCACGTATAGCCCTTGTTCGTGGTGTGTGCTTCTGGTTCTCTGCGGATTAGAGACAGTGGATATGAACACGGCAATCTGAGCATGCCTGCCACCTGGGAGAGAGACTCTCGTTGCCACGTTGTATTGCTTTTGTGTCAGTACAAACACCTGATGGGAACAATGAAGAAAGGCTCAGTGTTCAGGGCTTCAGGCTGGAGTCCAAGGCCCCTGGGTGCTGTGCTGTGGGCAGAAGGCCTGTGTGGAGGAAGCCCTGGTGGAGGAGTCCTCTGCTTGCCTAGAGACTGGAAGCAGAGGGGCGGCAAAGGCGCCGGAAGCAAGATCACAGTACAAACTTTAAGATCACAGTACATGCTGGCCCTACTGGTGAAGGGTGCACATGGCCCTGTCCCTGGGACCCAGTGTATAACACATGAACCCGTGGGGACATTTCACATTCAGACCTTTATCACACCTGTCAGTGACCACAGGAAAACATGGGACAACTCAAGAGGTTGTATGGGGGGGGGGGGGCGTGTGTTGGAGGTTGAGTGTGAGGAATGTTTGATTCCTAAGTACTAATGCAGGTCATAGTTTAAGACTCCAGGAACAGGCTCTGCCTGTAAACAAGCGACAGCGGCCTGCCGCCGTGGAGAATGCTTTAGTGATGCGCACGCATGCGTTACTGAACCAACTCAGCCTGGTGCATTGAACGTGCGCAAGGATGACCAGGTCATCGTGTGCTCTCAGTTAAAGGCCGTGGGAAGCTCGAATGGAGTGCTGTTTTACTACTATAAACCTTGTGTTTCTTCTCCAAGTCATGAAGCAGAAGCTCCACCTGGAGATGGCGGCTGCCTGACTAGGTTCTTTACAAGGACAGCTGCCATCCCCACCTGGGTCTGAGCGGCGTGACCGATGCCCACCTGCTCTGGCGCCATAGTTATTTGAACTCAGAACATGGATTTCAGCCTCTTCTGTAGCGGAGTCTCTCCCTCGCGGGATCAAATAAGAGAACTCAGTGATGACCAAGAGGTATAAGTTAAATCAACGTCAGCTTTGGAAAAAAGAGCTACTGTATTCTTTGAGATAAATAATAAAAGAATGACGTAATTAACAATGATCTCATTCAGAAAAACCTCAAGTAATTATATTTTCTCCTTGAAAATTCTACATAAATCTTTAGTTTCTGGATAACGCCGGCAGAGAACATGCTGGGCTTTCACTGTTGACCCATGAAGTTGGTGTTCATTTTCAGGGAACTGGGTCCACTAAGTTAGCACTGGCCACTTTCTGTCTCTAAGTGGTCTCTGATTAAGTCCTCCAGCGACCCCACCACGTGCGGACTGTTCGAGCATGCTCAGTTAATGCTGAGACCCTGATGTCCAGTCAATGATAGTGACGCTAAGCTTGTTATTTTTCCCGGAGTCGGGATTTGAACCCAGACCTTCCCAGTGCCAGTGGTCTTATTTGCATCCATTTTGCTCTGTGATTTCAGCACACACATCCAGTGGCATTTGTGGCTACAGTTTGATATATAGTCTGTGTCCTAATGTTTGCTTATTAAATTCTTATAGTAGTGCTAGAATGAAGAAATTGAAAATGCTTACTGAAATAAAAATTAATAATTTAAATGTAATTAAAACATGTCCCTGTGGGAGCACCACACTGAAATAATTATTTTAGTCAATAGAGAAATATAATTTACTGTTTTCCTACAAAGCCTTTCAGAGAGTAGTTGACGAGCTTGGCCTTGGCTGCTAATCTGGCCAGCCTGTCTGACTTGGGTCTGGCTCAGTTCACGGAACCGCCGTCCAGAATGTCCTCTTGGCCTTCCAGTTACGCGTCACAGTCGTGCGCACACGCAGCTTCTGTCAGTGGATTTGCCATGTTTTCTGCAGTTAGACTTTATGTGTCATGGATGTGCTGAGTTTAATCATGATCATGTTTTAACTCACCGGTAGCTGCTTAGATAAATCAAAGCAGTCTTTTGAATAAATTAGATGCATTGCCTTAAATCTGAGAAAATTGAGTTGTGAAAGTAGGGTCAAAGCAATGGTAGAGTTAAACTCTAAAAAAAAGAAGCCTTCAGATTATGTCCTTTGTAAGTAGGTTTCTTATATTAGTAAAATGATTCCGATAATATTTTACATCTAGGCTTAGTGAGTACATCTTCTTTAACAAGGTTTCCTCTTCTTGTGAGGCCTTAGACTAAGGTTGTCTGTAGCTAGGACTGATATAGTCAGTAAAATACATCTTATTTCTTTTTGTGTATATGTCCGTGTGTGTGAGTGAATGTGCATGCGTATGTCCATGTGTGTGTACGAGAATGTGTGTATGTGTGAGTGTGTGAGTGTGTGTGCCCATGTCTGTGTGAGTGCAGGTATAGAGCTGAGACAAGGACACTGCTCCCTCACTTTGCCTTACTCCGCTGAGACAAGGTCTTTCACTGAAGCTGGAGCTGGGCTGGAGGCCGTGAGCCCCAGTGATGCTCCTGCCTCTGTTACTGCATGACTACAGTCGCAGACATGCGCGGAGCGTGGGATTCAGACTCAGGTCCTCTTGCTTACATAGCAGATGCTGCCCTCAGCCCCACTGCTCTAGCCCTTAAAGATTCTCTACTCATCTTAAAAAGTGAATATGGCAGATCTTTCTCCCAGCCTTCCTGAAGCAGAATTTGTATTTAAGCTATAATGATTGGATTACATTGTGAAATATTGACTATATTTAAACTCACCTCACCTCACATAATTTGCCCTTTTTTTCCTTTTTGTAGTGAGAACACAGGTTCTGCCTTAGCAGAATTCAAGTATGTAACAGAGACGGCTAGCTGTGGTCACCTCCATACATGCTAACTGTCCTGGTCACCTTCATACGTGCTAACTGTCCTGGTCACCTTCATACGTGCTAACTGTCCTGGTCACCTTCATA